GAGTACTTACCACTCTATCACAATATTTGTTAGTCACTTTTTACCTGTTTATTTAATTTGTCTTGACATATTTCAATTTCGTTTTTCGTATTGAATTTTAGAATTTGTTGAAATATTCTTTTCAGTTTGTTATTTGGTGTTCAATATTGTATTGAAACTTGATTAATTAATTCAGATTCACATATTGCATGACTTAGTTTCTAAATATATTTTTCCCATCTGAATTTAAATTCTGGACATTACTTCATTCGTCTCAAAATGCGCTAATCGTTACTAAAATATATGTCATTTTAAAATTTTCAGATAAAATTAATTATTTTTTTCTCCATTTTACCCTTAGTAATAGTTGTTCTTGAAGACCATAATCACCTCAATTATGGCACATAAAGGTGTAGAGTTTTTTTACCCCTTCCCCCAGAAGCTCACCTTTTTGGTTCCTTGATGACTCGAACTCACAACCTTAAGATTGGAACAGAAAGGTGCTTCCAATCCGAGCAACTCAATATTATCGTAAGACATAAATAAGGCTAAAACAATCAGATATCCCTCCTAGTTAATGTTTTCTTAAAGGACGTGTAATTATAAACACGATGGTTATTTTGAGACGGAGGGAATATTAATGACTATGGAGAACAAGGACATTTTGGTCTTTGTATTAAAGTAGGGGTATTTATGTCTTTGCACAAAATATAAATTTCTAGAAATTAATTAATTCTCATCAAATATCTGATGGGCCTTTTGACTTGGGCTCAGAGTTGATTAAGTTTACTCTTTTGGGCTTCTATTTCATGATTTGGGTTTTATGCAAACTAAATAGATTAGACAATTTTGGGATTATATTGTCACGATCCAAAACGAGTCATGAATGGTACCCATATTTAACCTCCTAGGTGGACGAATCAATGAATTCAACCCTAACTTATATTAATTATCCAACTTGCGAAATACAATCATAATGCCGAAGCTCAAAATTTACTAATGTGAGAAACAAAATCCCCTAGAGTCTATTGCATATTATACTCAAAACTTGAAAGTCATCACATCAAGGACATCTAATTAAAACCCAAATACTAAGTCTACAAGTATCAAAGACACCAAAATAAATAAATAAATAAATAAAGTAATTTGCGTACGAAAACTAAGGTCATCATTACTTGACCGAGAGAATCCAACACGAGCTCGAATGAATAGCTCATTTAAAGCCATAACTATAGTGTATCTAGTTTGCAAATTTAGCTACTTCGGAATCCACTTCAGATATACACGATAAAGCTACAAAAAATTGTGTTTGATGTTTGGTATCAAAGTTTCGATATTCTTATCAGAATACATTTTTGCCTATTATGAAATTTTACTTTTATAAGATCCGATTTTTTTTATATCGTAATGTTTGTTTAAAGTCTAACTCTCCAAAACACTATCCTTATTGTACATGTTTGGAGTTTGAGCTTATAAATATTATTTTGATGTACCTAAAGTGAAATAGCCTTTATTCAACTCATATTACATATTTCATTTTTTGCATCTAAGAAAATAATTATTTAACATTATTTCACTTATATCCAGAAAAGAAACATTATTATTTCATTCTAATATTACAAATTAAACTCAACAAATTATGGAGTTTGATGTGACATTGTTGAATTAAAATATGATAATTATAGATCCAAATCATGTGGGGAATATAAGTTACTAATTAAATATTAATGAATGATGATTCTAAAAAAATGTTAAATTACCTTTATTTCTTTTTAATATAGTAAGACACGTGAATGTCATAAAGTTATTGAGTCATGTGATAAAGTTTCTTATTCTTCCATTCAAACTCACCTTTTACCCCTGTTTTTTCCTTCTGCTCTATGTTTGATGTTCGATATTAATAATAGAGCTTGATAAAATTTAAATTCATATTAGGAAGTTTTATATTGGAGGCAAAGTGTTTTCTAAAAGAAATGACTCTGTACCGTTAAAGATGAAGGATTACTTACCACTCAATCACAATCTTTGTTGGTCACTTTTTACCTATTTATTTAATTTGTCTTGACATGTTTCAATTTCGTTTTTCGTATTTAATTTTAGAATTTTTTGAAATATTCTTTTTAGTCTGTCCTTTGGTGTTCAATACTGTATTGAAACTTGATTAATTCAGATTCACATATTGCATGACTTAGTTTCAAAATATATTTTTTTCATCTGAATTTAAATTTTGGACATTTAAATTCAGAATTTAAATTTTGAACATTTAAATTGACTTTTCTTTCTTGTGATGATTGCTCCTGTAACTAGGACTTGAAACTTCTATTAGCATTGATATGAGATATATAAAATCAACCCATTGACAAATGGAAGTTCATTGTTATAAAGTTTCAAAATTTTTGCCTAGTGCAAGTTCAACAATATTATAAGTACCACTATTTTCTAGTTTTTATTTTATCCACTATTTTACTTTGTAAAATTACATTATTTTGAAAAAATTCGATACGTAGCATTTGAAAATACGACACGTACCATTTAAAAAACATGACACGTGCATTTGAAACAATACACGACATGTTATCTGTATTGAAAAGCAAACTCACCCTCATTTTAGAAATAAGATAAAGATATTTTGTGTAGTGATATAGTTCGAAGTTTTCAAGGATGATAGTTCCTTAAATAGTATTTGAAACAAAAAAGACAGCAAGATACTTTCTCTATAGAACTCGGCAAAATAACCACGTAACTTTAGGAGGAATGCACTCATCACAAAGTGGGGTTGTAGTACTGACTAAATCGCTTTTTTTAAATTTGAAACGCATCTTGAAGAGCTTGTTTAGTACTTCATTCGTCTCAAAATGCTAATCATTTTTACTAAAATATATGTCATTTTAAAATTTTCAGATAAAATTAATTATTTTTTTCTCAATTTTACCCTTAGTAATAGTTGTTCTTGAAGACCATTATCACCTCAATTATGGCACATAAAGGTGTAGAGTTTTTTTACCCTTTCCCCAGAAGCTCACCTTTTTGGTCCCTTGATGACTCGAACTCACAACCTTAAGATTGGAACAGAAATGTGCTTATCATCTGAGCAACTCAATATTATCGTAAGACATAAATAAGACTAAAACAATCAGATATCCCTCCTAGTTAATGTTTTCTTCAAGGACGTGTAATGATAAACACGATAATTATTTTGAGACGGAGGGAATACTAATGACTGTAGAACAAGGACATTCTGGTCTTTGTATTAAAGTAGAGATATTTATGTCTTTGCACAAAATATAAATTTCTAGAAATTAATTCTCATCAAATATCTGATGGGCCTTTGGGCTTGGGCTTAGAGTTGATTAAGTTTACTCTTTTGGGCTTCTATTTCATGATTTGGGTTTTATGCAAACTAAATAGATTAGACAATTTTGGGATTATATTGTCACGATCCAAAACGAGTCATGAATGATACCCACATTTAACCTCCTAGGTGGACGAATCAATGAATTCAACCCTAACTTATATTAATTATCCAACTTATGAAATACAAACATAATGCAGAAGCTCAAAATTTACTAATGTGAGAAACAAAATCCCCTAGAGTCTATTGCATATTATACTCAAAACTTGAAAGTCATCACATCAAGGACATCTAAAACCCAAATACTAAGTCTACGAGTATCAAAGACACCAAAATAAATAAATAAAGTAGTTTGCGTACGAAAACTAAGGTCATCATTACTTGACCGAGAGAATCCAACACGAGCTTGAATGAATAACTCATTTAAAGCCATAACTATAGTGTATCTAGTTTGCTAATTTAGCTACTTCGGAACCTACTTCAGATATACACGATAAAGCTACAAAAATCGTGTTTGATGTTCGGTATCAAAGTTTCGGTATTCTTATCAGAATACATTTTTGCCTATTATGAAATTTCGCTTTTATAAGATTCGGTTTTTTTTTATATCGTAATGTTTGTTTAAAGTCTAACTCTCCAAAACACTATCCTTATTGTACATGTTTGGAGTTTGAACTTATAAATATTATTTTGATGTACCTTAAGTGAAATAGCCTTTATTCAACTCATATTACATATTTCATTTTTTGCATCTAAGAAAATAATTATTTAACATTATTTCACTTATATCTAGAAAAGAAACATTATTATTTCATTCTAATATTACAAATTAAACTCAACAAATTATGGAGTTTGATGTGACATTGTTGAATAAAAATATGATAATTACAGATCCAAATCATGTGGGGAATATAAGTTACTAATTAAATATTAATGAATGATGATTCTAAAAAAATATTAAATTACCTTTATTTCTTTTTAATATAGTAAGACACGTGAATGTCATAAAGTTATTGAGTCATGTGATAAAGTTTCTTATTCTTCCATTCGAACTCACTTTTTACCCTTTAGCTCTATGTTTGTTGATGGTCGATATTTATAGTGGAGCTTGATAAAATTTAAATTCATATTAGGAAGTTTTATATTGGAGGTAAAGTGTTTCTTAATAGAGATGACTCTGTACTGTTAAAGATGAATGAGTACTTACCACTCTATCACAATCTTTGTTGATCACTTTTTACCTATTTATTTAATTTGTCTTGACATGTTTCAATTTTGTTTTTCGTATTTAATTTTAGAATTTTTTGAAATATTCTTTTTAGTTTGTTATTTGGTGTTCGATACTATATTGAAACTTGATAAATTCAGATTCACATATTGCATGACTTAGTTTATAAACATATATTTTTCATCTGAATTTAAATTCTGGACATTTAGTTGAGGATGAAGTTCATTCCACCAGGTTATTGAGATATTTATTCAAAAAAATTAACCTAACTTGGTTACTAATTTGATCGATTTATATTCCAGTCAAGCAAAGAATGATGTGTTTGTAATTGTTTGCGAAACTTTATAGCTCAGCAGTTTAATTATCTGATTTTTTTATCTTGTTGATTAGAGTTCAAATCTCCACCTTATAATCTCATTCTCCCATTTTCTCTTTCCTTACGTTTGATATATAATAATAATAATTTAAAAAAAAATTGAAATCTCAAATATAAAATGCATATCCTAGTTTGGCACCAATCAATTAAAGGTTTCTATTAGAAACTTTTCATAAATTCTTTGTTAATTATAACCAAGAAAAGTTAATACACAATTAAATATTGTGAAGAGTTTAATAATCTTTTATTGAAAAAGAAAGCGTCAAAAATTAAGAAAATAAGTTGAAGCGAATTTATCATACCACTATCCAAGAATTCCAATATTTGAATCGAGGTTTCGAATGAAATTAAATGTGAAATCTTATCAAGTAATTTGTAGGGAAAAGAGTCTGAAAAATACTCCAATTTTGGTCGAAATTATTGTTACGATATGTTAAATGTTTGGCTCATCTATGTCATCCGTTAAATGTTTGGCTCATCTATGTCATTTCAGTTTGAGAAAAGACGCATTCATGTCATTATTTGTTAATGAAAATGGCCTAGATGAGCCAAACTTTTAACAGATGACATAGATGAGCTTTCTCAAAGTTCAATGGCATATCTGAGTTTTATTTTCTTTTAAATAATAATTTAATTAATGACGCGGTCGAATCATAATTGACCACGTGTGAAAAATGATTTTGCAAAATCAAACTATTTTCCGTTAACAAATAATGGCATGGATGAGCCTTTTCTCGAACGAAAATGACATAGATGAGCCAATCTTTTAACAGATGGCATAGATGAGCCTTTTCTCAAAGTTCGATGACATATTTGAGTCTTTTCCATTTTAATATATCTCTGGTTCTTCCTATTATTATTCGAAATAATGAACGATGTGTCAACAATTATTAAATAGTGCAGGGGGGTAAAAGGTCCTTTCCAAAGTTTGGTATCGTAACAACAATTTCGGTCAAAGTTCGGATATATTTCAAACCCTTTTTTCTAATTTTTATGATATTATTAAGGATCTTATCAATAACCTACAATAGCATGTCAAATTAAATTTTAACAAAGAGATGATTAAACACGACATAGTGCGATTTTAACTCATCAAAATTATGACCTTAGATATGAAGACCGCAACGTGATTTCAACTCATCAAAGTTATGACCTTAGATATGAAGATTACGGAGTAAGATAAAAGCTTAGTAAGTACTAATATTAGTTTTTCGACAAAACATTGAGTATATTGTAATATTAGTTTTATACATATATTTTCTTTTCAATTATCACATTTTTATGTTGCAATTACTATTTTTTCTCTTTATAGGCTCTATGCGAACGACCTTCTTTATTAATTGACACATTTATTGTCGTATTTTTTTTCTTTATATGCTTTGCACTACCTTTCTTATTGATCGACACGTTTTACTTTTTGTCACAACCCAGACCGTCGTGATTGGCATCCAAACTAATTCTCTGGTGGGAGAACCACTACTACAACTCAAACCAGGCAACTAAACCAAAAATAAGGCATTTAAGTTATGAAAGCAAGTTAAATGCTAAGGAAATAAATAGGGAGTTCTCATAAACTCCAACAAAAGTTTAACAAGAACTAAAAATGCGAAAGAAATAACCTAGAACTTGAAAGTCAATGTACCAAAACATCTAACAATGAACCAAGTCTAAACAAGAAGGGGTGCAACCCCAATCAAATGAACTAATCCAATAACTAGAACAAATGTCTAAGTCTGAAAATGGTAGACATAGACGAAAAAGAACCCATGGCGGCCAGGAAGAATTTGGCTTACCCTTGAATTCGAACGATCACTGGTCTTCTAGTGAGGTCTGTCAATAGCCGGCAGAAGATGCCCTGTACTCAACAAAAATAAGAGCAAGTGCAGTATCAGTACACAACCATAGTGTACTGGTAGGATCACGCGGCTACCCCACTAAGTGCAACATAAACAAGTCAAGACAACATTATAATCACATGCATATATATCAACATATACAATATTATCAACATTTACGAACAACGAACAACTTCACATTTTATATCAAATCATTGATCCTCTCATGGAACCCAAACCCAAACAATTAGCATACCGGAACGTGGTACCCGATCCCAATGTTATGCCGAAACGTGGTAACTGATCCCAATTTATGTCGGAACGTGAAAACTGATCCAAGTTAGTTATGTCGGAACGTGGCAACTGATCCCATTCGCACACCATAATCACAAGTATATCCTTAAGATCATACATTTAAGTCATGATTTCATGGCAATCATCAGTCTTCTATCTCATTTACAACAAGTGTGATCAACGTTGCAACATTCATACATATACAAGTATCATAATGAAGCAAGAACAAACATACATCACACAATCATAGAATCACAACCATCACCTACCTCGAAACAAGCTTAAAACCCTAAGAAACTTGATCCTTCCCTTTTCGGATTCGTTCCGCTTGTTCTTGGTCTACAAACAATCAATATAATACGGGAATCAATAAACAATCACTAATTACTCGAATTACTGACAATTCTATGAACCCTAGTTCAAACTCATGGTCCCAATTATCCAAATTAGGGTTGTTTCCACCATAGAATCTATAGAAAAACCCTCCCCGATCAATATTTACCCATTCTATTACGTTTAACGGATCAAAAAATGGATTTGGGGAGTGAAAAGCTTATCTTAAGCCTCAAGAATGGTGGAAAAACGAGTAGGAGTTGCCTAAGGTTTGTTTCGTAGCTCTAAAAGTCGAAAAGTGCATAATAAGGTCGTTTAGGGGTTGATTAACGACCTTAAGTTGCGTCGTGCCCGCCACAGCAGTGATATATTAAATTACTTTTTAATGATGTAAGCACGTCTGATTTTTAAGTAAAACATTAAATCAAACCTATTTTAATTAAAATTGAATAAATACCCTATCATTAAAATACATTAATATGCTGAGCAAATTCTTTTTCTCTATCAACAATTAATAATTTTTTAGCAAAATGAACACGCCACGTCTTGATTTCGTGACCTAATTTTGGATCATAAAGAGTCAGAAATGAAATTTTTGATTAAAATGAATAACTTTTTTATTCTTTAATTAAAAAATCAAGTGTCAAATGTCAATATCATTAAACGATTCACATAATTCATCGCGTGTTATCCGCTTTCTGCACTCTCTCAGGAGAAAAAATTAACTCCTCTAAATCAAAGGTGCTATACTCTAAAGATTTCTTCCCTTTCGCACTATGGCATATCTGGTTGCATCGAAACCAGCAGGTCTTTCGTCCAAACGCAGCCTCTACAAACCATATTTCCATAAAAAAAATAAAAATAGAATAATGACTTTTTAAGTTAAATAACACCAAATAAGCGAATTTTTTTTATACAAAAGAAAAAACAAAAAATCAAATTTCATTCACCTATTTTCAATAATTGAATTAACAATTAAAACAATGAACTCTTGAATTGGATACAAAAATAATATGTTCAAACACAATCAGTAAAAATAGTCCATGTGATTAGAAATATGTTACATTTGTCATGGGGATTTATGCCATTTCTTTTAAAATTTGATTAATTTAAATTTACACCTAAAAGTTAGGTTAAAATTCTATAATATAAAATATGCCTAATCGGTTGCACGTGATAAGCCAGTACAATGTCCCTATCAAATAAATCACAGATTGAAAATGAGACTACAATAGAATTTAATGATCAAATGATCATAATAATAATGAAAAAAAATAACGAGTTTAACAATGTAAAAAGAATTTTTTTAAATGCAGAATATCAACATTTAAATTTAATCTGTTTGACATTATAAATTTAATATTGAAGATCATATGTTGATTCGATACATTCACTTGTAATTAAAAAGCAAAAAAATTCAAACCAGATTTATCATTATTATATTTTAATTTGTCGTTATAGTAAATTATCTGTTATTTTTAATATTAATAATAGCAAAAAACATGGTAAGAAAAGTAGCCAAGTGTCATTCTCTTAGCTATCTTAGTTTCAAGCGCTTACTTGAGCTTACAAGACTGTGAAATATTCGTGAGTTAGTTGTTGAGTGCCGCACGAAACTTTAGAGAGACTCTAAGTTGGTGACACAAGACTTACCAATCTGCAAAAAGGGGGAAATAAAGTAGTTTGAAGGAAATGGTTAGTTTGTTAAAAGTTACAAATAGTGGCAAAGTTAGAGTGCTGAATATGAGTTCGATCGAATTCAATAATTTAATTTAAATCTCTCTTGTGTATCCAATTGATGTCTCTATGTTGAGGAATTTGAAAAGAAATAGGAGAGGATTTGAGCAAAAATGAATAGAAAAAGTTAAGCTCAAATTGGAAAGAAGACCTTGCTAAGAAGATTAAGAGACCGTAGTGTGTCGGTGGAAGAGAGTAGTAAATTACATTTTAGAATAATGTTGAGTATCATGGATATCCTTTTCATTGTGACTTGATTATTTTTCTGTATTAAATTGAGAGACTTAATAATAGGTGTGCTATTACACATAGCCTCGCCAATTGTTTGACTTGACTCATCTTCCACCTAAGCAAAATTTGTAAGAGAAAATCAATATGTTGTCTTAATTTTTTTTTGAATTAAAGATTTGACGACGGAAGTAATAACATAATGAAGAGGAAATATATGGGGAAAAAAATTATATATACTGCCCCTAGTGATGAGTTTAGACATAAGCTTAGAACTAATAGGAATATAAGATAAAATTGTTATCATACCTTGGCTACAATGAAGATTGGTACCATAAACTGTAAAAGATTGAAATTTAAAATAGACGAGATCTTGATTCTTGCGTCGCGTGAGTCCTGAAAGTTAAGACCACAAGACTGGAAAATATTATTTACTTTCTTAAACCCAATATCAAGTTTAAATCAGACAAACAAATTGAATGGAGAAAGTATATATTTTATCATGTGTATGAAGGGTTGTTGAAGCTTCCTCTTCTTGAAGAGTATCTGTAACACCTCGGTCATAGAAAGAGCTAATTTTAGAAAAAACTAAATTCGAAAGAGCTAATTTGAGATTGGTGCAAGTTAGACTTCAATTGTGAGT